GATAAAAGGCTAAGCCCGCCATGGCTGCAAAAACCACCATGTGAGATTTGCCCAGCCAAGATGCGGGCTAGCTCAAAATCTGACTTCATTTGGAAGAGGAGAATATCATCAAAGCCGCTGATTACAAGGGTTTTAGGATTTCGGGTTTTTGTGGACTCACCAGGGAGGCTTGTAGTTTTATCTAGCGAGCATCAACAAGGGTTGTTTGTTTGTCTTGAAATCATCGGCAGTGTGGTTGCAGAGAGGGGCAACAACCCATCCCCAAACTCCCAACCTCCCTGCCCCAAACTACACTGCCTCAATCGAAGGAGATACATGGTTCAAAGATTAGAAATCATGACTGGAGAATAGACTTCATTAAAAATGGCAAAATCCAAGACTTCAGAAAACATCCTCTCAAAAGCAAAAAGAGAAACAGCAAATCCATAGAACATCCCTATTGCTTCAACAGATTCTTCTCCCAGATGCTTGAGAAAGATGGAAAATCCCATGGGGGAACCTCCGGCAAGAGATAGGGCAAGATAACCCCATCTTCTTGCCAACAAAGTACTCTGCCTCAAGTTGGCATCATAAACTATGATTCCAAAAGGAATACCAATGGAGGATGCAACTCCAATGAAGCCAGCAACATAGCTGCCATACCAGCTGGTTTTAACCAGCTGCTGGCCATGATTAGTAGCCAACAGAAGGATCATGGAGGCAAAGATGGAGACTGCAAATATTACTTGCCAGGATCGGAGGGAAAGCTGCATTGTTTTTTTTTTTTTTCTCCCCTTTCTCTCTCTCTTCTTTCTCCTTTTCTTTCTCTCTTTCTTCTCTCTCGCTTTTCCCTTTCTCTCTGCTCTTTCTCTCCTGCCTTCTCTCAGGTTGTCTTTTATCGTCTAATCCTCACCAATATATATAATGCAGATCCTCTCCAGACTCCCCAAAAAGACCTTTTTGTTTACAGTCCGGAAGGCGGCCCTATCTTGATTAGCGTGAAATTGAAGACCAAAAGCAAAAGCATGTCAGTCCTAGGACAAAAATTACTTGAATTAGAGAAGGCACAATTAACTAAAATGAAATCAATTAACGCAATCAATGTACTACTTAAAGTGCAAATTGTTATTATAACAACTAGATTAGAAGCTAATGAGATGTGCAAAGTTTCTAACAACCAGATTACAAGTTATATCCTGTGAACCATATACAGTATTTCGTTTAATCGATTACTTGTTACATTTGCACATATTTAATTAGTGTTTGTTAAGTCGGTGAATTTGGAATCACTGACCAATCTAATGACTATATTCGAAATTTTGCAATCCATATTTACTGTTATTATCCTTTTCTTTATTTTTTATTTTTTTTCTCTATCCTTTTTCCTCCCTTCCTTTTCAAAACTTTTAGCAGGCTCTTCAAATTGTTTATGAGTTAACTTTTCGTACTCTCGTATTTATCCATTGTACTGTTTTTGCAATTGCCATTTCTTAGAAACTTTTTAATAACCAAGTCAGTTGTCGTCAGTTGTCATTTTCTAATAGGTTATATGTTAGAGTTGTACTAAATTCTACTAAATCTTCAACTGATTTCAAAATTTCACATACAAATAATAACAAATATTAAATCCTTTATCTTAAAATTCAAAAATCTTTCAGCAAATTATTGTTCTGTGCATAGCGCAGGAAATGCAACTAGTTAATACCTTAAAGTACTTTTTGAATAAAAGTATCCCATTCCCAAGCAGGCTCAAATATGGATACAAATTTATATTTGGAAAAAGAGCTAGAGATTGTTACAAGACAAAGAAACCACACGAAAAATTAGCATGAGGATATACAAAACAGGTGAAACCCACTTAACAGTTGATCTATATACATACACACTTGTGGATCTGTGTAAGGCATTTGCGCAATATGAACAATGTAATAAAGAAAACTCGATAATAGAATTTATTCAGATTACTCTGCAAGAATCAATTAAACTCTTACCTAGAAAACATAACATAACATCATGATTTCTACAAATAAATCTTATAAACCAATTATAGCCTCTCATATTTTAAGCGCATTTTGGTAAATTATTTTGTTTATGTGTATAAAAATAAAAATAAAAATAAAAATAAAATATATATATATATATATATATATATATATGCGAAGCAGGTCAGGTACATGTATATTTTTAATTCTCTCACCCTAACTTGCCTCGCAAATAAACGGGTATCCGACCTTTTTTTTAATTCAATCAAATAATTCGGATGGGATATTTTATTTTTCAAATTAGATCAGAGAGGATATCATGAATTTTCAGATCATGTGGCATTTTTGTCCACCTTTACTCATATTTAAAAAATGTCCATATTTTAATAGCTCACATTTGGATAAACCCAATTTTAAAAAATTCAAGGACAACTAAACTACTTAACTAGTTTAGATGGACTCGATTTTAACTAGACTGCTCACACTTGGACAGTGCCGATCAAAAGGCAGCTAAACTACTTAACTAGACTCGCAGAATGTGTACGTATCGTTTATCAATGATGGCATGATTACTTTGGCCTTTTTGGGTTCCAAAAATTAATTTATATGAAGGCAAGGGCATATCATCTTCTGCAACGAGGAATTATGGGGTTTACACACATAAATCACTACTATTGGGAGGATGTAACTTTCTTTGTAAAACTTTTGGAGCTTCGGAATATACCAGTGGCTGCGCGAATCCTATAATTAGCCTTCAATTTATTTATGCACTTAAATGGCAGTACTTTCTTGGTCCTTAAGTTGATGTTTTATTCACTTTTCTTAGTCCATCCATGATTTTGTATTCAACTCAGACTTTCATGTTATAAAACGATCTTTTACCGTAAACACTTCAACTATTACATGAATCAAACGATTTATGAAAATTTCACAGATAATATAGTCGATCTTATACATATTTTCCTTGACTACTATACAAAAAGCTTCAACGACTTTAGAGTCAACATCCTTAATTTGGTACATTTGTATCTTGTATAATTACACTAATACTTATACACTGTGTGAACTTTAGATAAGAATTATGAATTTATCGACCTCAAACGGTCTCGAAACTATTCTCCTGCTGGTACTAATAAAACCCTAAAGGGCCTTGACCATCAGTACCCTAACACTAGTTCTAAATAAAACCCTTCATTTTGTATGTACTAATATGGTATTGAAATTCGAGTTTTTTCAATGCAACATAGGGTGCAAAGGTTTTTGGAAACAAATTTTTGGCTGAATTGAGTTTGATGAAATATAGCTTTCTTCTAGTTTCGTTTTATACAGAACATGTGTGACCAGTAAGAGACGCAAGATTCAGCGAGTGGGTAGTGCTGTTGCTCTTTGGGTAGTTGATGCAGGAGTCCGCTGCCAGGTTTTTGAGTGGTCTGTGATGCAGGAAAGTAAGGCCGTTGATTGGATGCTCAGTTTTCCCGCCTCTGCCTTCTTAGTACCTCCCGCGGCTCTGCCACTGCAGCATTTTTTGCTTTTTCATTTTTCCCTGTACTTGTAAATCTTTTGTTTCTCTTATAATCGTAGTTTGAATTAGTCCGTGCTCAACTTAACTAATGGGCATGTAGAAAACAGGAGCCAAATTCAAAGCAAGTATTTGTTTGGATTGTGAATTATTATAGATATTTTTACTGTAGCACTTTTTGTGATGTGATGTATGTGAGATAAAAAGGTAATTGGGAAGATAAAAAGGTGCGTTGAAAATTGTAATGATGATGTAAGCAAATATATTTTGACAAATAAACGACAATCCAAACAAACCTATGCGAATGAAAAAGAAAAAGAAATTGTATGAGATTCTTAGGCTGCTTTGATGCTTTCCTTTTTTTTTTTTTTCGAAAACTATAGATGAATTTTATAGCAAACCAAACTTTACAATAGATGAAGCTTGCATTTCTCTCTTTTTCTCTGTCTTTTGGAGTGAGTCAGTGGCTTGCTTTTAATACTGCTCAGCTTTTGTGCAGTTGTCATTCGGGGATTCATGATTCAAGCCTTGCTTATAGCGAGTTTGGGAGTTTAGGAAAGAAAAGAAAAGAACAGAAACCTTGAGTTAGAAAAGAAAAGAAAAGATTATAATAATATCTTTTCATGTTATTTGGGAGTTTTGGAGAAGAAAGGAGATGAAATAACTTTTCTTTGTTTGGAAGTAGAGAAAAGTGAAAAGACAAGATTCAATTTTACATAAAAATCCTTAAATCTTAAGATACCATGAGAATTTTATTAGGTTATATAGTTATATTTTAATCTTTTAAGGGTAAAAATGGCATATGGTATAATTCATTTAACTCACTCCACTTTCTCACGTTTTCTGCCCGTTTTGGGCAGAAAGTTTTTCTGACGTGGAAGGGAGTTGACATCCGTCCGTTTCTTTTCAATTCTTTCCTATCCAAAGTCCAAAATGTGAGAAAGATTCAACTTTCCTTTGTAATCTTTTCTTTTCTCACCAAATCTGCTCTTCCAAACTGGCTATTAGGATCCCTCCTGAGGTTATAGCCTTATAGGACTTTTAGTTACAGATTGGTGATTAGGAGCCACAAGATTTAAATTATTGCACTTTCAAAAACCCCGAGAGAATGAGATCTGTCTCTGAGATTTTCTTGAATTTTGGTAATTAATTATTAAAGGAAGACATTGCTGTCAGAGGTTTCTACCATTAGTAAATAAAATGCGGAAAAACAAGGGATGCATCAGAACATTTCTGCTTGTAGGAGCCAAGGAACCGCATTGTCAGGAGTGATTTAAAGAACGTGAAAGAATATTAAAATATTGGAAATCCCCAAGACCAAATTACGGAAACTAGCTAGGCCATAAACCTTTTTTTTTTTTATCGATATGGTAGACTATTCTATAGTAAATGTGACGCCCTCACTTCTTCCAAAGGCGAATCCAAGGGTATTCGCGGGGCGCCTGCCTAGCTCTCGCCAGGACTGAGTACAAATTCAATTCAAACTTAAGAATAACCAATTGATACTAAAAGTCAAAGATAGAAAGGAAGGTAAATTCCTTTGTAATTGTTCAGGTCTTACATCATAAGCTACCAAAATATTTTACATTCCCAAAATAGGCAGCTTTCAAAAGTTGTCTAAACAAATACATTCAAAAGTCTAATCAAAAGGGCCATCAAGCAAACCTCTCCATAATTCTTTCCATTTCAGCTCCTGTTAAGAAAAACAAATCTATCGGGATGAGCGAATGCTCGTAGGTCAAGAAAACATGCAACACACGTAGTTCAAATAACCAAAGCACTTACACAATAATGAAAGCTATAACATTCAGGTGATTCACAATTTATAATAAAATTACACTTGAGTAGGATACAGGAGCTCTCATGAGCTAATTCCTATTTGCTGGGTAGGTAATTAAATTCGGAGCACTTCACATATTCCATTTATGTTTCTGAGACGACTCGAGAGGTACCTCCCACCCAAATCGGTGTGGTACTTACTATCGTTCAGTTTATAGTTCTGAGACGATTCGAGAGGTACCTCCCACCCGAATCGGTGTGGTACTTACTATCGTTCAGAGGTTTAGGGTACTGAGACGACTCGAGAGGTACCTCCCACCAAATCGGTGTGGTACTTACTATCGTTCAGTGATCGATGAGACATCGCTCCAATCGACTTATGCAGGCATAGCATAATTAATCATTCCATTCAACGAGTTTGGGTGTCCCCCGAATACGGATACGAATACGAATATAAGTCGATGAGCAACGCTCAAATCGATGATTCCAAATACGAATCATATATACGAACCACAAATACGAATCACATCCACATTACTAAGCACAAGTCGGATATGAATTCACATAGCAAAATACGAATATAATTTTGTTCGTAAGAGAACGAGTGTTATAAAGTACACACTCGTCTCAAAATTTCAAATTCACATAACGGATAAGAAACAGTTAACCACTTAACAACAAATTCAAGCACTTGACACTCACAGTGATTCAAGTAGCAAGTTCAAATGATGGTTTAGGTGTCTCCCGTGAGATCCTCTGGAAAGTCCTCTTGAGCGCCTGAGCATTTAATAATAAACTATCACTTATAAACCCCAATTAATAAGGAAGATTGCACCCTTATACAATATAAGACAATTTCACGAAAATGAGTCTTAATTACTCGTAAATCGAGACTCAAAAGTGGAGTTTTAACACATAAGCAAAAATCTGATTTCCATCTTTGAAATCGAGTGTAAAACGATCAAGTGATATCAAAGGAAAAAGAGAGTTTGAACAACTCCATTTCCTTTAAGTTTCGAAATTTTCAGATTTGTTACACTTATTTTGGAAAATCATATCTCACTCTCTATCAGTCCAAAATTGAAAGATTTGGTACCGTTGGAAACTACTTCCAAAGTTCTAAAAGTTCCTAGAATACATTTTTCCATGATTCCAAATGGAAGCCATTCGAAAATTGGCTCAAAGTTACTGTTTTAGGCTTGCGAGACAGTTTTGAGGTTGGTTTTTCGCCAATTTTGAAAATTCGGCAAAATTCACAGAATTTGAACTAGCCTCTCATATTTGAAACTCAATTAGAGTTACACTCAAAGTTTAAAATGGAACAAGCAGAATGAGAATTGAAGTTTTGAGCACCAAGATATGGTAGCTCAAAGTTACCCAAATTTCTTTGTTAAACAAGGGTTTTTCAAAATCAAGTCATGAACTTTGGAAGTTTAGTTGAGCAGCGAAACGGACTTGGAATGGCACCAAAATTAGTAGTATAATACTAACATATAAGGAGTATTTCTCTGCCAAATTTCATGGATAAATATGCACGGGAAGTTGGTTAACCAAATTACCAAAATTCCAAAATTTCCAAGGCAAATCTGCCTTGTGAGTTTCGTTTTCCGTTTTGTTTGGCTTACAAAGTACCTCAAACATGGTCCATTTGCATAGACAATGTCTAAGAGGTATCCAAAACACAATTTTGGGTGATTAAAACTAAGAATCTCAAATTAACAAGTCTCAATCGAGTTTAGTAAAATTCTGTCCAAAAGGAGAGTTTTCCTTCAAGAAGTCAGTTTCAAAATACTGCCACAAATCACTCAATTCAACTCAGAATTGGACATGGTTGGTGGAGTTGGAAAAAAATTTCATAAAGCTACAATTTCTCAAAAGAAATCATTTTCAAAATCCGTCCACAACTAGCTCACATTTGAGCATCAAGTTGTAGTTCATGTTCTGCCCTGTAGTGAACCAATGAAACAGGACAACAAATTTCAAACGAATGGTTTGGCTCACACAATTGGAACCAGGATATGTATTTTATACCAATATAAATCTAGGAATGTATAGTTTTGCAGTGCCACAAACGGCACTTGATTTCGATATCGGAGTAAAAAGTTATAGCCGAAACAACAGGACTGCCTGGGTGAATACGGGAATAGTTTCCAGATTTCTAAGCTTTCGTAAATCAACATTTGGGTGACCAAATCAAGTTATTTTTCAATAAAACTTTTCATACACTCAATATAACATGTAAAAAACATAGACAAGCCATTAGAGACTCAAAATTTTGCACCAAAGTGCTCGAACAAAGCAGGGGCAAAATGGTCACTTTTGCTCCAAGCACCTCCTTTGATTTTCTACCAACAATTCAATATTAATCCACTAATATAAGCACTAAACCACCATTAATTTCATCATCAATCATCAAATCAGTCTTTCCATCAAAGTGGGAGTTCATAGAGCCCACTCACCAATTTTACAACAATTTAAAGCTACCCATGAGAATCCAAGAGCTCATGAGTGTAATCTAACTTCCATAAATCAAGAATTAAGAGGTTGATCGTTCATTACCTCTCTTGATGACTAAATAAGAATTTTTGGTCACTTTGAAGCTCAAGAAAACAGTGAAAATGATGCTCCTCACCTGGCTAGAGTTGTTCTTCTAGTATTAAGGAAGTTGTGTACAAATTTTGAGGTGAAATGGTTAGAGGAATGAGCAATAAAATGAAGAGCTTTTGGTCTCTTTTTCTTCTTCTTGGTTTCGGCTGTCTTGGAGCAAAAATGGAGGGAGTGTTGCACGCCACTTTAGATGATGAATTGAAGGGTTTTGATCTAGGGTGATGCACCCATGAGAAGCTTAATAATGTGTGGCCCAAAATGCTCCAAAAGTCAACTAAGGATAGTGCACGTACACGCGCGCTTCGTGCTCTATTTCTCTCGGGTTCATTTCACTAGTGCACTAAACCTCTAATACACTTGTATACATACTATTGTTATTCACTCTTAATAGTCCAAAAATAATGGCTTTAAGTCCCTCAATTAATCGCGCGCGTAAAAACGCGTACTTCCGATTTAAGCGCGACAAAGCGAAACCTCTAAGAAATTCTTATAACGATAGTACTAATAACTATCACTTGAGTATTTAAACATAAAAATACCTATTTTAAAACTAATCTATAAGTCTCCAATTTTTCCGAGCTTATTGTATTCTCAAATCGATCACTATCTCCAAATGCACATTCACTATTCTCACTAAATGAGCTTCCAAAAATTAATTGCCATAACAAGTCATTTTAAAAATACATGTAAGTCATAGTTCCATGTAATTGGATCTAAAAGGGTTACAAAATAATATTCGGGGTAAACGGGCATTTAAATATTTAAATAAGCTAGTAACAGGAGTTTAAAATAAATAAATTTTACGAGTCCTCACGACTTTTCTTAATCTACTATTGAGCATTCTTATTTTTTTCAAAATTAATAAACTCTCAATTCAAATATAGTCTGGAAAAACGTGTACTTGTTGTCCCGAACTAAACGAGTTTTCAAAAAGTAACTTTTTCTAACAAAACATTTTAAAAACATAAAAGAGGCGTTTTTCCATATAAATGGATTTTAAATAGTCGAACTAAATAATTAATTAAACCAGTAAAATAAAATAAAATAGAAAAATTTTTGGGTCCTCACAGTAAAGGGAGAACCTGAAAAAATCCAAGGGTAACTCGGAGAGGTTCAAGGATTACTTGAAAGGGACTGAATCATTACCGAATTAGACGGATGCACTACGCACCTGTCTGAATTTTTTTTTTAAGCAAACCCACGTAATGTGGCAATTGGTAAATTTTTTCACCCGCCCCCACCAGACTTTAATGCTTTGGCGGTGGCCACCATCCCAAAGGTTGGTGGGTTAGCTAGGCCAGAAGCATGAAAGGCGATAATCTGCTTCGGGCTACTTAACCAAAAATATGAATATTGTGTGATCAATCATCAGCGTGGGAGAAATGAAATGATTAGGTAAGGGGATAATTCCAGAAACCTCCCACAAGGTTTCTCATCACTGCACAGAAATATCTTTTAATATTGAAAATTACATTGACCTCCCCTTTCATGTGGATGTGACCAAATGTCTCCATCATGAGCCTTTGAATGACCAAATTACCCTCAAAACTTTGTGCCAAAAAATATTGAAAATATGAGAAAAAAATTTCTTGAAAATATTTTTCTTAGCTACTTGGCGCCAAATAATAGAGGGTATATATACTTAATATGCCAAGTAGCACTTGTAATAGCACTATCTAAGAAAAACCAAAATAGCTTATAAAAAAAAACTCAAGAACCAGAGATTCAGCTATTTGTGATCCTTTATCCGGTGAAGTATTTGTTACGAAAGTGACTAATATACTATAATTTGGACTCTATTGAAATCACTAGAGGTAAAAGATCAAAACTTTATTGGTTCATTAAACTTACTAACAAGCTTTTTAAGCATTGATTATTGTTTATCATGATAATTCTCGTCATGAGTATGATTTAAACTTCTTAGAAGATTATATGTTGTACTCGTGACTATGCCTATATGCTATTTGATGATGATTAGAGATGACTTTGTTTGTAGATTTTTTCTTTTATCGCAACGATAACATTTCTATAACCTACTCCATCTTATTTTAAGGGAGGGGAAAACTAACTGATGGAAACACCATTGGATTTTTATAACCTACTCCATCCTAATTTAAGAAAGGAAAAACCTAACCGAGAAGAAACACCATTGGACAAAGCCATTGAAAGTGGCTAGTGGGAAGCAAGTTTGAACCCTTAACCTCTCACCCACAATCAAGCCTTAAAGTTTTCGTGGTAACCAGCAGACCAAATGGCTATTGGCCTTTGTTTGTAGATACCTTCAATTAAAAATTGCATGATTTTTTTGGCACCTTCTCCGACTTCATATACAGGCATGAAAAATCTATTGCACTACCAATAGCTCTTGCAATGGATCTTCTTGGGCTTAACAGTCAAAAGAATATGTTTTTTTTTCTTTTTTGCAGTAGTGAGAAGATCAAACTGGTGGTGATTGTTTTCCTTTTTATTTTTTGCCATTTTTCTCATGAAAAAGTGTAATTATTTTCTTTTAGAGACAAGGAGGTTAAATTTGGAAGAAAATTATGTTTAAAATATTTTTGCATCACTTTTGCAGTCACTTTTTATGACAGGGGCTGATTTTGATACCAAACATGTCAATCAATAGGGGGCTAGTGTAATTTTTAATATTAAAAGATATTTATATGAAATTTTTAAAAACTTTGAGGGACATTTTGAAATTATCCCAAAAAGGTTAGTGGGTTGTGTTGCTGCATTATGGGCCTAATTACTCAGAATATCGATGAAAAAAGAAAAATTGGATATATATGAGTCTGACAATGTGGTATTGCAACGGCCCGGCAGCCAAAAAGGCCAATTTGTTTTTTTAAAAAAAAAAACTCTGACAATGGGCACAGCCTGGCAGCAGACAAAAATTTTATTTTATTTTATTTTTAGAAATTCGCTGGCTGCCGGGCTGAACGCAGAATTCTGCAAAAAGCTGGGAATGAAAAAAACACTTTTCGTTAGAATTAGGGACCGCTGTTTCTGAGTTTTCTTTCCAAGGGACCAAAAACACTTTTCTGAGTTTTCTTTCTAAGGGACCGCTTTCGGCAGAATTCCTCGCTATGGTCATTGCTAAGTTAGAATTAGTCAAAAGTTTGACTTCATATTTTTTGGTCCCTTATGTTTTAAATAATTATATTTCAAATGAAATAAAATGTGAATTAGATTAAATGCATAAAAAAATGTGGTCTAAATCTCATTAAAATCCTTAAAAGTAGTCCATATTGTCAAAACATATTAGCTTAAAGAGCATCTTTTCATTAAATTAATTACCAACAAATGATAACACATAAATCATATATAAAAGAAAATTTTAATTTGAGTATATAGTAACTTTAGTTGTATATAGTATTAGGACAAATCGTTATACGACTTGTGGATATGAGTTTTAATCGGTTATGATCAGGTATTATGATTATAATAACAAATAAAGGTGATTACCAATATAAAGGACTCACATGAATTTTTAAAAAAATTTCTTTCCAGTTCTTCTTCTCTGTCCTTCATATTAAATCAAATATTTCAATAATACAATTTAATGTATTTATGTTTATGTTCATCTTAAATTGATAATTTTATTGAATAATTTAAATAATTATAAAATATTTATTTCAAATGAAACTTAATTGACAACTAGTTGAAATGCCAAAAGAAGAAAAAAGAAAATATTATTCAATCAACTCAATATAGTTGTTTATATTATAATAGAATATTTAATTAACTATTTTAATTTATCAAATATAAGTATTGGACATTAGGTGATGAACCAATTTTGTAAGAGGACTTTTATTGTAATTTTAAAATATACTCCCTCCGTCCCATTTTGATAGTCACGTTTTCCTTTTTCGTCTGTCCCAAATTGTAGTCCACTTTCCAATTGAAGAATGTAGTTGTATTTTAATTTTCCTAAAATACCCTTTTTCAATGTAAGTTGTTGTTACTATAAACCTACCCCATTTAATGAGAGTTGATTCTTTTTTTACCATCAATTCAAGTTCCCATAAAGTTGTACCATATTTAATATGATGGTATTTTAGGAAAATAGCAATCTAAATTTACTTTTCCAACAAAGCTAACTACTTTTTTTTTAAATTATGTGAAAAAAGAAATGAGACTATCAAAGTGGGACGAAGGGAGTATTACATTTTTCATCCATGCATAACTCGCTTTCTCCAGTTGCATCCGGATGAAAAGAAAGCGTTTCGTGTGGATATCTCTGCCGTCATCCAATTTTTCTATGGATGTTTCTACCTGCCTATAATATTTACACCAAAGGAGAAATTGAATTTACTTGTTGTCTTTATTTATGTAGGTGAATTCTAGGCAGAGCAACCCTTACACAGCCCATTTTTTTCATTCCCAACTTTTTTGCAGAATTCTGCCGGCTGCCGGGCCTATAAATTTTTTTTTTTTGTGACACAGCCCGGCAGCACTGTCAAAGTTTTAAAAAAAAAAGTTTGGTGCAGTATCACCTTGTCAGACCCATATATGTTCGACTTTTCTTTTTTTTCATCAATATTTTGAGTAATTAGCTGCATTATGGGGTAGCTTTCAGTTTTTCCGATAGCGGCAAAGCATGCAAACAATTTTCTTATTACGAAGAATACACCAAAGATAAAACTCTAATCAACCTTTTCATTACATTAAGAAAAATCCAAACCTAATCTACAAAAAAAAAAAAATTTGATAATGGATTGCCGGTACTACTATAGTGATCAGATGAAAATGCCTAATCGCACACATCCAGCATTTTATATAATTTTTTTTCTTTTCATACCAAATATATATATATAATTTTTTTCCCTTTGGATGGGTTTGAAATAGTACAAACGTACCTTTTCCAAGAGATGTGACAAATTTTGTGCACCATGAGAAGTAAACAACCCTTTGCAAGGCAACGTTGAGAATTGTGCTAACCGGAGTTGCAAAAAAATCAAGACATTTATGAAGGATACCTTTATGGTAGGAAGCCTCTACCGTAGGCAATTACTCAAAACATGACACGTGTATTTATAAAATGAGGAGCACACGAACTATTATGTTGCATTGGTAACATACGTGAAGATAAACCAAACAAGACATGTCTGGATGTAGTCTTTTTTCCCTTCCAATTCCTCCATTCATTGTGCATTGTTTCTCCACTGTTTTATTACATTTAAAAAATT